TACCCATCCAGGTGAATTAATGAATCACTTTATTAATGCCGCTGGCACACCCTTCCAACACGGTTGACATGTGCCACTGCTGTCAGCCTGTTACATTACTGTGAGACAGACCTGAATGTCTCTCTCTTAGACAAAAAACTATTAGTACAGTGTTGGCACAGTGAAATAGTCTCATGCTAAATATTGTAAAATACTTGTGCCATTTCTTTACGCAATACATGGAACTGGAAGTTCAGACAATCGCTGGAAAACAAGGTTCAAATGCTGCATTTATTACAGTAGTAGGAAGTGTGCTAATAAGCAATGCCAATGTAAATGCTGTCATTCAGAGCTCAGACTGCTTATTGCTATGTTGTGAAGCTAGAAAGGGTACTCATGGATGCTGCTCATACAGTCAAGTGAATCTCTCATAGCCAGCAATAAAGAGTGCAAAACAGTTGTGCAAAGGTGACAAATTCTGCCTAAAGGATCGAGGGGTAAAAAATCAGAACAAAGACATTTTAACATGATTCCATTTTTTATTTAAAACAGCTGGATTTGCCTTTAAATGCAAATTCAAGAGCCTATGTTCTCAATAGCCTTTAAATTGTAACAGTGTGTAGCTATTGTGTAGAAAACGATACAAATATGTTTTGTTCTATATTCTTTGCTTAAGAAAGTTCTGAGAAGCTTGAAATTTGGTTTCCTTGCCTTCCAGTCCCATCCTTATCCATTTGGCAAGCGCAGTCCACAGCTGTTCATTTAGGACGCTGTGCAAAAAGCTTACAGTTCCCATTAGTAGGGGAATAAGCAGTATCATGTTTGAAAACACAGATCCTGCTTGTCAGGCAAATGTTTCTTGAGAGCAGCTCCCATCCCCACCTCTTCAATCCCCAAAGAATAAAAAACACCGTCTCTCTTCTGATCTTATTTTTAGAACACATGCTGTGTGTTGTATACATGTGAGAAAACAAAACAGGGCTGGCTGTGTGCGTGTTGCAGCCATCTTCCTGCTGCTCTGGGGGCCTGGCTACATATGGGGCATGCACAGCTGATGTTTTGGAAGGACCTAAGGGTCATCAAGCAGCGTGAAAAGTACAGACTGGGTGGCCCAGCCAGAGAGAAACCTGCTTTCCTCCTCTATTTAACAGGTGCGTCAGCCTTTTCTGGGCGCTTTCTGGTTTTGTTTTCTGGTTTTCTTCGGTCCTAAGTTGAGAGCTTATTTCAGTGCTTGAGGGAGTCACGTTAGGAATTTCACATGTTGGCATGATTATTCAGTAACAAAATAAAAGTACAGGTTAACACGTAAGAAACAGAATCATTGAACTTTGTGATATACTAGTGTTTTGTAGAGTTAGGAGTTCTTTTTGTCTAAGATCATCGATAGGCCAACAAATGCAAATGAGAGCTCATGGTTGTCTTGGTTGTGCGTTTTATCAGATGATCTTATGAACAAGGAAGGAATTTTCAAAAAAATTAAAGCTTTATTCATGTAACATCCATAGCTTAAGAGGTTTATCCAGCTATTTTAAGATTACATTTTTTATAATTGCTTTTTCTTATGGAGTATTTCACAGGAGACAGTGAAAACAGTTGATGGGGATTTGTTTCTCATGTTTCAGTCTTCCCAGATGCATTTGAAGGATGCATGGAGCCCATTTTGCTTCCATTGTCTAACAATTGCTTAGAATTGCCATGATTAGAAAATCACACAGAGAGAGATTCCAGTTGTAGAGTAGAAACTCAGGGGCAGTTGCCAAAGAGTAAAATACGTGTGTTTTCCACAATAGTTGGAAAGTATAGTATTCATGGCACCAAGCCTGTCACAGTTCAGTGAGTGTCTGGATGATGCTCTTAGTCATATGGTGTAGTTTTAGGTAGTCCTGTGAGGAGCAGGGAGTTGGACTCAGTGGTCCTTATGGGTCCCTTCCAACTTGAGATATTCTATGAGTCTGTCTGGTCTTTTTCAGCCCTTCATGTTAGTTTTGTTTTCTTGTGCTCTTTGCACTACTAAATCTGTCATTTTAAAGCCCTAACTGTGTTCAGCCTTCTCAGCTGTAGACCACAGCTGTATTTCCTCTTCTAATAGGAGAAAGGCACACCCCCAAATTCCCTTCATGGCTGCACAACTGGACCTGCTTTGCACATACAATAAAATCAACCATCTTCCTGATGTCCTCATTCCTGGGGAGCTGCGGCTTTCTCCTCTGTGCCCGGAGGAGGAGGGAGAACGGCTGAAAGGCAGCAACAGCCTAGATAAAGCTTGCAATATAAAATACTGTCTGGATCAAATGGGGCTTAAAATACAGTTGATCACAATTACATGTGTACAAGGACAATCTGTCACCATGTTTATTTAATCAAGATCACATAGAGATTTTAATTAAAGGAGTGAGCTCATAACATCAGGCTGGTCATATGTAACTGACAAGCGTGTTTAGTTACAAAGGCCAAAAAATGGTCCTTATTTATATGCTAGTTTTGCTAAATAATGGGTAACTTGTTTAGATCACTTGCAGTAATTTGGCACAGAGTGATATTAACAAAAAATGCTTCTTGTCCACTTGGTGCCAGCAGGAAAGAGCCCGTTATTTTCAGTGAGGTGGGATTGAGCCTTGAATAACTACTACAACAGCTACTAACCTTAATTTCTTAAATTTGGAAAATGGGAGCAACTGTTTAAACTCCTAATTTTCTAATATTCTGTGGTACCTGTTTTTCAAGTGGTACTTAGAAAGGGGAAAATTAATGGGGGAGGGAGGGGGAAACAGAAAACCACCATCACTTTTTTTTTTGGGGGGGGGGGGGGGTTTAGATTTGGCCTAAAATAAAGAGAGAAGACAGTAATGCTGGGTGTCTTCTTAATTTAAATGAGTTAGGCAATAGTCGTTTCTAAACTTGCTAGATGAGACTTTCATGTCTTTTTAGGAGGACAAACTGCTCTATTAATTAAGCTCAGTCCTGTAAATCTCTTCTAACTTGCAATCAAATCCCAGAGTAACCTGGATCGTATTGCTATTGAAGTCTACAGCCCAGGAGAATGGAGTTTAATATTTCATTTGTCCTGTGTTCAGCTATGATGTGACTTGTTAGATGTCACTTTTGCATTGGGAATGAAAATCACTAAGTCTATCTTTTAATTGGCTTGCACCAAGAAACAAGTAATAAACTGTGATTTATAATAATTTGTTTTTTAATGAAAATGTATCTACATGCATTTCTTGAAAACAAATTTCTTGGAGAAATAAGCTTACTAAGTCAAAACATAATCAGCCTGACGTTCCATATCAGAAAAAGATTCTGGCAGGCGTTAAGGGAACAGTGCGAAACAAAAGCAGAAACAAACATTCACAAACAAACTTAGCTCGTGACACTGGTTTTTGTTCATGTTGGATACCTGCTACAATTACAGTTCAGATATTTTTTTTTTTCAGAGGTACAATGCACAATTACTGCAGTCAGTCTCAAGGAGGTAGCATCGTTCATTGTAATTAGTTAGCCAGAGGAAATGACATTAACATTTCAGTTGATCATTTTGTATAATAATGGTTTCTGTGCATTTGTTTCTCTTCACTGAGCAGATATTGACCTGCAAGAGTTTTCCAGAGGGAAACTATCTTCCTCCCATCACATGGTGCTCAAACTCTTCCACATTTCTGTGGGTCCCAGATTCTTCCAGTTCTCTGGGTTCTTTGAGGAATCACCTTTAAGAGGGGTTTAGAATAACTCCCACTCTAAAATTAATGTCATACTGTAACATTTATAGGTTTCTTTTTCTGAGACAGAGATGTCCTTTTCATCACTTTATTTTCACAAGAGAATAGAGTTTGTGTCCTCTGGGCTGAGGGCAAACCATGTTAGAGTGTGACAGAGGGAAAGCTAGATGAGATTAAAGAAATTGCTCATAATCTTGCGCAGTTCAGCTCAGGTTTTCAAAACAACAAGGCATATGCTATTTGTGTGGCTTCCAATATGCAAATGTTATTTATACACTGACAGAGGGGGGAAAAAATAAAAATCAGGCAGGCAGCCAGAGCCCTGTAGATTTTTTTTTTTTTTTTTTTTAATCACAGAGAGAGGTGATATTCAGCATCTGGGTTCCTGCCTCCTCATGATGTTTTTCAGATATCTAGGCAATCCTCAAGTCTCATGCAGACTGTGGTTGAGTACCTTTGCTCATGAAGTTGAGCAAACTTTGCAATCAAACGTGACAGGAGGTGTTGATTCACCTGGTGCCTTAGAGTTTTTCTTAGCTTTGAGGTACCAAGAGCCTCAGTTAGAGTCAGTTCTGGCAGCATCCTGACTACTGATATTGACCATGGGAAGATCACTAGTGTTTAAATTTGCTAGTATTTTCTCACACACATCCAGTGCTTTGATTAAAAATGTATATCCTATTTTTAACCTTTATTTTGCTTGGTAAAATCACAAAATGAGCAAGTGATTTGAGTTTTCCACTCATTGCTAATTGTGTCATGTTAAGCATTACGCTTTGGCTGAACCACAATTCCATGATCAATGATGGTGATATTCTGCCACATTGGGTCACAGGGCAGAGGAAGGGCTGTTGCACCACAGCCTTTTTATACGTGGTATATGCTAAGTGCACTCAGTCTTCTTTATTTAAGACTTCTTTCCCGCCTCACCCTCCAATATCATATTGACTGCTATTGCTCATATGCTTAAGGGAGGGAATAAGTATAAGCCTTCTGATCTTTTAAAAATGACTTTTGGATTTTATTTTAAACAAGTTGCTTTGTGGTTACTGTGTTTTTGCAGGTGTTTCTAAATTGGTAATACTGCCCCCGTGTAAGGGGGCTGAATTTTTAGCACAAATAAAAGAAGCCAAATTCTTTCCAGTAACGGATTAAATTCTTGTGAAAGATTTGGTAAATGACAGGAGAAACTGTGCCTGTATTACAAAAGATTTTGGGACAGCCTTGCTATACAGATACATAGTGGAAATTTGGTCCTTTGGACAAAATTGTCTCAGGCCTCTCATGATTTCTTTTTGTCTACAGAACCCCCAACTCCTATTGCTCCTCCTGAGCTGCTGGCTGTCGGAGCCACGTACCTGTGGATCAAACCCAATGCCAACTCCATCATTGGTGATGGGCCCATCATATTGAAAGAGGTGGAGTATCGGACGACCACTGGGAATTGGGCAGAAACGCACATTGTAGACTCTCCTAATTACAAACTGTGGCATTTGGATCCTGATGTGGAGTACGAGATCAGAGTGCTGCTCACTCGCCCTGGAGAAGGAGGCACAGGGCCCCCTGGACCGCCACTGACGACAAGAACAAAATGTGCAGGTAGGGTTTCTACTGCTTTGCAATATGGCACAGCTATTTTGGTTCACTTACTAATACATTAACAAACGGTCCTCCGCACATCCTTATTGTAGACGTGCTTCATCAGTGATCTGAATTGACATTATGAATTTTGATATATCCTGGAATATTTTACTTTTTGTTCCGTAGGCAAATGTTTAAGAAACTGTTGTTTTTACGCATGTAGTGTATTTGCCAAACTTACTGCTACAGTGTATGGCTGTTTTCTGTTGAAATGAGCAGGCAGATGAGAGTTCCCCAACCAATTCTCCAGTAGGCAAATCATTCTTAAGACTAGTCTGTTATAAAATTTTCACCGTGTTAGTGCATAACAATATATTTGTTGTTCTTGGGTAATGGTTCAGCATTGGTTATTAACAAATTGACAGTGCTATCAGCTTATCAGTGCAGTGTGGTGAAGCAGCAAGCATTTAGTTTTTAAGATACATTTTTGTATTCCACTTGATGGAACTTGTTCTTCTCCTCACTTCTGATAATGAAACCTGGTCAAACACTGTGCAGCATCTTCCCTTTGTCTTTCATATTGGAACAGATCAGTTTTGATCCAGGGACAGGAAAAGTCTGTCTTCTTTCTAAGCCATATTGGCCTTTCCAGGAAAAGCTAAAGGATCATGTTCGTCATGTTTCAGATATATTGACTGTTCATTCTGTTTTCATACATTAATCATTAGCCATTAAGGGAAATCAAGCTCTGTGCCTTGCAAAGGGATGAACAAAGCAGTTTTCTACCTAGCAGTTTTTTTCCACCACACAACTGTCATCTCAAGGTTTGCATTTTTGTAATTTTTGCAAGATGCTTTGTGGTGTGAACAAAGGACAGAGACTAAAAGACTACAACCTTCCTCCCCTCCCCACAAATTAGTGGTTTACAGCAAGCGGATTTAAGTAGTGGAGAGCTTATGCAAAAGCATTCTGGTTCCAGTTACTCTTTCTGACCAAACAGCAAGTCTGAAGTGTGAAGAATGCATGAAGAACAGCCAAATGCATCCTGGGATGGGATTAAGCAGTGCAATGTTGGTGTTCCTCACCCACTGTCACAGTAAGAGCATCCCCAGCAGCATCCTCTTCCTCTACCAAGAGAGGAAGCCTGGTGGGTTGAGCGTGTTGTGGGGCAGGGGGGCACATCCATGCTGCCTTTCCTTTTTTGTACAGGTTATAAAGCAGTGAACTTTTAGTGCCTTTCTGAGAAGAACTGGTTGAAAAAAAATAAATCTGAGCATGAGGATCTGACATGTAGGTGGTTGCTATATTCAGCACCTGTCCATTGGTAGAAGACAGATGTTTGGAGGCTTTTCTGCAGCTAGGTGGAAAGCATGAAGTGAGATGGATGACGTTCTGGCCTATTTGGGAAATTGGCACATGCTCTGCTACTCATCTTTTGGCTGTCTGCTCCTTCACCAGTGTGGTCAAATTCTCCCTTCAGCAGAAATAACTGCAGGCCTGGCCTGGGACTATGCATTTACACATGGAAATGTGACATGCTGAGATTTGGTCTGTAGTTCATGCATTGTGATTTTGCAGGCACATGCTCTGCAGCAGCCAGACTTGCAAACTTTTCTGTATTACCTATAAAGAATGCTTGGTTTAGTATAATTGAGGGGTAAAAAAAAAAAAAAAAAAAAAAAAGATGTTGGCTTTGTGCTTAATGATGTCTTGTACTGGATCCCAAATTGCTGAGTTTCCTTACTCAGCATAGGTATTGACTGACATCATGAAGGATGATGTAGATAATTTGTTCAAATTGGCTAAGCAGTGCCACTTGCTATTTTCAGTCCTAATTTACTAATGCAAATCTAACTGGAGAAGGTCATTCTATTAACGTTAGTTGTCATACAGAGCTTGGTGAGATTGATGGTGATGGCATTTATGTTTTGTTTAGAGCATTGGGTGGGAGAAATTGTAATGATCTTGATCTAAGCACGGACTCGAAGGAAGGGAGAGACTTACTCAATATGTAAAGATATGTGACTTCCACAAAATGCCAACTGAAATGATAGACAAGAAAATGCAGCTCGTTATTCCGGTTTCCATATGTCATGGAACTCCTTCAAAATACCCTATATAGGGGATAATTACACAAAACTTCTATGGTAAAGATTTTCAAAAATGTGCTGAACCAACAAAACAGTACTACTTCCTTGATTTTTCTTAGAGTAGCTAACAAATGACATCAATGAAAATTGAGAGTTTTTTTCAATAGTTGAGGGATGAGTGATGATGCTTTTTTCAAGTGAATGTTTTGGTTCTTTTCTTTGTCATTACTTTTTCTTAGCAAGAGGGGAGTACCAAACTCCTACACATTTGTATGCAGTCAGTAGATGACTGGAGTAGTCCTGTTTTACTGGACTGTTTAGTGTTGGTACTGTGTTTATTAGGCCCACTAATAAAGATAACAAAATTGACTGCAGAAGTAATAGTAGAGAATATAATGTATACCGGAGCAGAAGTATTTACTTATTTAAATTGCAAGAAATCAGTGTAACCATAAACAGAAGGTGTCTGCAGCTTTCCAATAGTGAGAAGTCAATGTCCCTTTTACTAAATAATCTCCTTAGTGTCTTTTCACATAGACATAGTATACTTATGTGCTAGGGAGTCTGAGTAACTACTGGCATAGCCTTCAATTTAGGCACACCTTGCAATGAGATTCTTATTTTTTTATTTTCACCTCTAAATTAGAACAGAATTTGGGAAGGACCATGCTTTTCTTCCACTTCAAATCAAGCAACAAGCTCATTTACAAAGATGCAGTTGTCTGCTGTGAGTTTCCTGACTGTCAGACTGAGCAAAAGCATGACCGGAATGGCTCAGCATGAGCTTAGAAAGTCATTACACCATGACACAACTCTTATCAAGATCATTCATGATTTTCAGATTTTTTGATCAGAGTGAATGGAAGTTGTTTACATGGACTTTTTAAAGTTTTTCATTATATAAACCCCATAAAACCTAATTATGAAAGGTCTTGCTCTAAATGAGCACAAAGAAGTTTTATTAAACTGGATAATATCTTATCTAAATTTCTATAAACAGCATGTGCCCAGGCACCCATTATCCTGCTGGTGATGCGTTTGGTTTTCTACAGGACAGCATTACAAGACTTCATTTATATTTGATCTTTAGAAATGATACTGAAAATTAAGTCCCAGCTTGCCTCCTTCCAGGAAAAGCCAACTGCCAGAAAATATGGCAAACCTTGCCTTTGTAAAGGAATGATTTTTTTGTTGTTGTTGTTGCTGTGGCTTTTGTGTTTGTTGTTTGTTTTTTTGTTTGTTTTTTTTTTCATAGGCTGTGATAGGTTGTGTCTTGAGGCAGGAGGAGATTAAATGACCTTGAGGCATAAAACAGTAAACTGTCAGAGGGAAGAGTTGATCAGCAGGGAATGGGGAAAAGAGAAAGACTGCTTAAGGTTAAGACCAGACACAGGGTTGAGGGGTGGTTAAAGGAAAGGAAGATATGAAATATTAGTTTCTACCCCCAAAATAATAGGTTGGGTGAGATAACAGGAGCAGAATAGTATGTTTGAACATAGTTCCTAGTAGTGCCTAGTAGTTCAGCACTGGTCTTCTGAGTGTGGTTTTTTTTAGCCGTCCTTAATAGTTACACAGAGCTCTTTAAAATCCTTGTTTCATGGGCTTTGTTCAAGAGTGCGCTTTGGAAAGCTGTGATTTGAGAAGCTTGGGGCTTATTTTCTTCCCTGTGCTTATTTACTATTCCCCTGCTTTTTTTCTTTCTCCTGTTGCCACAGAAAGGGAGAATAGGGGAAGAATCCTTTTTTCCTCTGGTGGATGGGAAAGAGAAGGGAAGACCTTCCAAAAGAGGTCATCATTGTAGGGGGGGGGGCAAATCTCATCTGTAAAGTATTTGCCTTCTAGTGGGATGAACTTGCATGAAAAGCAAGGCCAGAGAGTAACGTTTAAATGAAGATTAATAAACGGACAGAGATAAGACTTTCTTTAAAAATCATATTTAGATCTGGTTAAAATACTATCTGAAAAAGCTATCCTGAACGTGAGCTTTTCTGCCTTTTTGGATGATGACAACAGGTGACTCATAAGATGAGGAGGGTTTTGTGACCTTGAGGCTTGGAAGCAGAAAGCTTTCCAGCCTGACAGGAGAGTTGCTTGGTAAGGAATGGGATGGGAGGAAAAGTCCTGAGAAACCCCATAATCTTCCCCCTGCAAAAGCTGTGCTAATGATTCTTCACAGAACAAAGTTATCATAATAGGAGGTTTGTCCTCATATGAAAAAATTAACAGATCCCTTGCAACCGATCTCTGAAGATAAACTGCTAGGGACTGGGTTATTCAGAGGAGAAAGGAGCAGTTGTCAAGATCAATACTCAATTCTTGTTCTCGGCCTAGGGAAATAAAAGTTAGTCTTGAATGGAGTGGCTGAATTCAATACCCCTTTTAAAAATAGTCAGGAGAAAGTAGCTGATACAAATGCAAATAATCTGTACATTCAGAGTTCGATATGGTATTGCAAAGTAGTTGGAAAATCTTTTCCTTTAGTTATTATTAAAAGGTACTTTGTTGCCATGAAATGTTGTGAAGTTTAGGAGTAGTAAGCAGCTTTTGCCATTTTTTGCTGTTTTAGGACTACATGTTCATATTTTATAGAAATGTTTTTGTCTGTTGCTCTGTTACAAATGTTCGAAAAAGGAGGTAGTTGTGTACTGATGTGAAATGCACAAATTGAACAGCCAGAAGGTTATGTTGTTGTGCACTGTGAATTAATATGAGTTGTTATAACAGCAGGTTAAAAAATATTTATTTCTGATTTAATTTTAAGGTGATAGCTCCCATTAAATAGGAAACATTCACATGTTAATGTTGAAAAATAAGATTCAGGGTTGCTATACTGCTGCCTTCATTTTTTTTCAAGCTTACAAAAAAAAAAAAACCTGAAAAAAATCTGATACGTGAGTCAAAGCACTACACAAATGGCATATCAAGTGA